TATTACCATTGCATATCTGTGGCAGTAGTCATTAGTTAACAATTAAAATATGGATAAAAAATGAGACTGTGATATCACAAAGATGATGTGTTTTTTCAAAGGTGCTAAGAGGCCATAAAAGGTTTGGGATGTCACAATGTGATTGTGATGTCACAACAGCAATGTGATGTCCAATAGCATTGTGCTGTCGCAGATGTGATGAGGTGATTTCACAGTGAGTTAGAAATATCACAATTATATATCCTATTTAAATTGCTCCTAGATAGAAATGAGGATATAGGTCCTCAGAAGGAGCTTGAAGTCACAAAGGCCATGCTTTTGACAAATGTAATGAAGTCATAGTTTTTTTGAAAACACAATGGGACAGTTATATACCAAACATGATATGCTGTCGACTGGTTACTACATCATAAGGGTTTCTGCTATCAACCGACAGTGCACATTTGAAGTAGAATGGAATCAGAGAGCTGGTATTACAATCTGCCTATGACATCACAATGACAATGTGAAGTAATAATGTTATGGTGACATTGTAGGTTGGTGATGTCACAATGAGCTGATAGTGTCATTATGTATGACAATGTTATGGTATTATGGTGATGAACTCAGAAAGGCTTTATGATAATACAATAGCATGTCTGATCTCAATAGTCATAGTATACAATGAGGATATGGGTACACAAAGGGACTGTGATGTCACAAAGGCCCTATGTTTTTTCAGTAGTTGTAAGAGGTCATAAAGTTTTGTGATGTCACAATGTGATCATGGATCACAATAGCAATGTGATGTTACAATGTGTGAGTGATGTCATATTAGTGATGAGATCATAATCTGTTGGTGATGTGATAATTAGTTTGTAATATCACATCATGTTTAATTTCAATCGGTAATTGTTATCAAAGAGAATACTGTAATAAGCATCTGGATCCCAATAATTTGTGGGACCTAATCATAATAGTGCCCCTATGGCCTGGTCTATGTTAGAGGGTGGTTCATGCTTCTAAAGGAGTTGAGCTGTCATGGCCCACGTGGAGATATGTCAAGAAGTGATTGGGCATTTTGCAATTTGAGAATGACGATTGAAAATTGTTAGGCAAGAGATTTGTTGGAGCGTTGCAGGTATACAGCCCGTTTATAGGCTTTGTTAATATCAAAGGAAGGGGAGAGAAAGAGGGAAAAGACCTGAATGGAAGGAAGTGGTGAGACAGCAAGAAGGGAGACCTGAGACGAGAGGAAGTTGAGTGAGAGCAGGAGGGTAAGGATGGCATCTCACCAATGGGGCAGAGCAGCACAGTCGTGTGGAAAGTTGGGAGGCCTGAAAAGAAGAAGGAACTGGTGGAAGGGGAATAGGGAAAGAACTGCAAGGAAGGAGAGGTCTGTAGAGGAGTGAGTAATGAAAAAGGAAAAAGCCTAGTCTTTTGAAGTTTGGAGCTTTAGAAATCATAATTTGGTATTGGAGGTTTGCAGACGAATTACAAAGGGAATTGCAGCCCATTGGATGCCAGAGGTTTGGTGTTCAATGCTACTCTTGGGCTGATTATCCAGCCCAGGACAAGATAAAAACAGGCCACTTTCTAGTATAAATACTTTTATTTAATATCTTAACCATGCCTTGATGGATTATTTCATTATTGACTTAAATTTTGGAGGCCCCATTGATATAATCCATATGGATAAACTGGGCCTTGGACCCTAGGAAAACCTCCTTGTATGTTTCTGATCCCTCAGGGATGAGAGCCTCCCTAGATTTAAAGTTTCCTGTGGATCAACAGAGATAAGAATCATTTCAGGGCTGGGAAGGTAGCTCAGTGTTAGAGTGCTTGTCTTGCATGTATGAGGCCCCAGGTTTCATTCCTCAAAAATGACATAAGTAGAATAAACTGGAATCCTTTCCACAGAGCAATAGTGGGAATTAGCTACTCCCCAACCACAAGAGAACTCCATCCTTTACCCTGATAAAGACATGGCCAGAACAAACCATAACTAAGGCCTTTGAAGAAACCAGTATGGCCATTTAACAGATCAAAGGAACCTGACATACCAGGCTCAGATCCAGGCAAGGAGAAAGTTTCACTTCCCAGGCAGAGGACTGACTTTCATCATTGGGTAAGAGGCTACCCTACCACAATGTAGCACAGTCAGTAGACCTAGCTGCCTGAAACTAAAAGAAAAACAATTGTAAACTAAGTAAACATAAATCCCAAGAATGGCTCCACGCTGGGCTATGTGAATGTCTCAGGGAAAAGCTACACATTCTGAAAGGCCTCAACACAACTCTGAACCTATCCCCATCAAAGCAACTTCAAGCTAGAAGAAACAGCCATCTCTCTCTTTTGAGAAACTCAAAGGAAATCAACCTCCCATTGAATTAGCCTGGGAGGGTGTTATAAAATCTCTGGTAAGGGAGAGCTTACTGCCTGCTGAAACATAAAGAATCCACAGGAAAACCAAACACTGTAAGCAAACCAGAGACTCTAGCTATAGACTAGTTAAGGACTCAGGGGAGACACAAGATGCCACCCGCAAAAAAAAAAAAAAGTAAAGACAAAAGAAATAGAAAATGTAAGAAAAATTTTGTCTACCTGTTTTTAAAATTGTTTTTACAAAAATTGTTTTCTTTTTTTCATCATTTTTATTTTTGTTTTTTAAATTATTTTTTACTCTTTTTTGGAAATTTTGTCTTCTTTTGGTTTATTTAATAGCTGTTCAATTCATCCTCAGATACATATTCAAATTCAATTATTTGACCTTATTCTTCATTGTTGGCATACAATTCATATATTTATTGCTTAATTCACAAATACTCATCATTAACTCCCTTAATTGTAGTATTATTTCTTCATACTTTTTTAGTATTTCATTTATTTATTTTTTTTCTTTTTTCCTTTTTCTGTATCTCCCTTCTCCTTTCCTTCTATCCAATTCCTCTGTCACCATTTAGGTATTGTTTAAGTTTTCTCTCTCCCTTTCCATCCCCACATTTCTCTAATCTTATTTTCTCCTCACAATACTCCCTAAATTTACTAATTTCTGGTCTGCTGACTTCTTTGATTTTCTTAGTCTATTGATCCCTAGTTGCTTGTTGTTGAACTAGATTGTATCTAATGAACTAGATTGTATATGTACTTATTTTGACTGTGTCAAACAATCTGTGCAACTACAGAGCTCAGGTTGATGACTGCCTTAAACCAGTGTTCTAGCACAATATTGGTTTTGTTTTCATACAGAAATTGGCAAAACACGGTGGAGAAACACAAGAAAAAATGCATGGCCAGGTGTCTCTACTCCCACTCACCATGAGATGAGTGGGAGTCCTTATATTGGGATTCATTTCTGCTTGTTTCAGGCATACACTAGTTATTGCAAGCAAGGGAAACCATGAGACCTATGTTTCTTTGGGCCTGGCTTGCTTCACTTAATATTATTTTTTGCAAGCCTTTTCATTTTCTAACAAATGGGTCAATGTCATTCTTTCAGATGGAGGCATAGAATTCCAGTTTGTATAAATACCACATTTTCTTCATCCATTCATCTAATGAGAGCATCTGAGTTGATACCATATCTAAGCTATTGTAAATAATGCTGCAATAAAAATAGTGGTGCGGTTAGATTTAGTATGGTCTTGTTTGTGATTATTCAGGTAAATATCCAAAAATGGGTTGCTGGGTCATAGGGGAGGTCTTTGTGGAGTCTTTTGAGGAACCTCCATACTACTTTCCAAAGTGACTGAACATGTTTATAAGGATTCAATTTTTTTCTTTCTTGTTATTGTTTCTAACATATTTGTAAGATGATTTATTTTTTGCTTCGTATGTCCCCTCCTATGGTATAACTCCTGTTGTCATTATATTTGATGTTGTATAATGAGTTTAATTAGGGATACAGGTAAACCCATTGCAACAATGAGATGTACAAGACATTATGTTGATAAACGGGCTTTACAACATTGGCACAGGGGTTGGGGGCTGATGGTAATGCATGGGAAGTTGAAACAAAGGAAGAGGCAACAATGCATGATAAGAAATGTACTCATTAGTTGCTTATGTAATTGTAACCCCTCTGTACAGTATTTTCACAATAATAAATAAATAAATAAATAAATAAATAATCCAGAGCACAGTTTCCCGAAATGCTCTACAAACACTACTGGTATACATGCTGAATGAAATGTTTGAAAGCCTGCAAAGGACTCTATGAACGTGGTTGCGAAATGCCCGAGCATGATGAGGCCAAGGAAAGATTAATACAGGAATTAATGAGCATGAAGAGGCTGATCAAAGAGTAATTGAGGAATTGCATGAACAAGATGAGAAAAAACAATGATTAATAGATGCACTTATGGAATCCATAAACAGAAACTTGGGAAATCCATACAGCATACAAAAGGACTGCTGGGTGAAGCTCAATAAAAGGAAAATGTGTCCAATAACATAATAACCAATCAAGAGACTTGAGAATAAATACTGAAAACCATATTAATGTGGTACAGAAGTCCATACAATTCCTAAAATAAAGCTCCAACAAAAAATTTCAAGGCATCAAATCGGACCAATTAGAAGGAAATGAAATAAAACAAAGTAGAAAGCCTTGAGATTAGGTTTGTCTGTGCAGGGAATCCAGTCTCTGGGACTAAAGACAGCCTTTCTTTAAAGAAAGAATAAATCTAAGAAAGAGTATAGATCTATTCAATAGTTTGAAGAGAACACCAAAAGCTTTAATTTAAGACTAATGGGTGTAGAGAAGGGCCAAGAGACAGAAGTGATATGTCTAGGATATTTATTTAACAGGATCCTAGCAGAGAACTTCCCAAACATGCAAAAAGATAGGTACATTCAGATACAAGAAGAATTTATTTTTTCTTTTGTTTTTTTAATAACCTTTATATAACATGTGTGTTACAGAAAACATATTCTCAAAGTGCAAATTATTACTGCCACAAACAGTTCAGGTGGACATGACTGTCTAGATCCTCTATGTTCATACACCAATCCATTTTTAGGTAACTGAGATCTATGGTTTGTGTCATGCTTTTCCAAATGTTACAAATTTACCAATTCAAAATCCCAAAGCTACATGAATATTTTGATAACCAAGAATAAACTACAACAACTCAATCTGTTTGGTTAAAAAAATGCATTCCTGCTTTTCTTAGGGATAAAAATTTCACTGAATCTACAGAATAACCTCTGCTTTCACTGTACTTGATGTCGTTATAATTTGTGGAGGGGAAGGGGAAAAACAAATCGCTTAAATAGGGATAAAGGTGGACCCATTGCAGCAATGACATGTACAAGTCATTATGCCGAAAACAAACTTTACAACTTTGGTGGGAAGAGGGGAGGATTGGGTGGGGGATAATGGGAAGGGTTGGTAAGGGGGAAACAAAGGAGGAGGCTACAATGCTTGATAAGAAATGTATTCATTATCTTGCTCATGTAATTGTAACCCCTCTGTACAGTAATTTCACAATTAAAAAAAATCACTGAAGACAAAAACAGCAACAGGCTTCTAGACAGAAGTATTGGCAGAGTTACAATTAAAATACTGAATATCCTTTATGCTCAATTTAAAGAGACATAAAGCAAGATATACTATGCAATTTCTAAACTCATTAGGCTTATATCATACTATTAAAATATTAGCAAGAATATTTCTTCTAAATATGTGTATCCCTAGGGGAGAACCAGAACCATATACATCAATGGTTAAATTCTGAGCACACCTGCACACATCTCTCCCTGCAGGGTTCCTATTCCTACCTTCTCCTGCCAGCCTCTAGGTAAGTCCTGATTTTATTGCCCAGAGATGGCACAATCCATCCAAGATGGATCTCCTGATTGTAGCAGGTATTTACAGTTATTTAATTCTCTATTTCTATTTTTTAACATACATTATCTCAGGACACCTATAAAGATTAGATGTTTTGAAATAATGAGAGCTTTGTGTACAATACATTGTACCAAAAATGCACATCTTCTAGATGTGGCAATGCTAAAAGAGCCCATCCCCACCTTCCTCTTCTCCCTCACCATTTCTCCAGACACGCTGAGATAATTCACTCCTAGGAGGCAGTTTTTCCTAAAAACTGACAGAAGGACATTTCTACAGGGATTATCTTCTACTTCTTACTTTTAGCATTACGACTTACCCCTTAATACTTGACAATATTAACTAAAATACACATACAAAACCAAGTCCAAACCAACAAAACAAGCCCAAGATAGCCTGCTCTTTACACACTTCCTCCCCCAACCCCACCCCTGCTGCCACCCTGTACAGGAAACAGAGTAGTCTCTAAGACATTACAATTCATTCCCAAATTCAAACACCAAAAATACTTCAAGGGTATTATGTTAGCCTTCTACTTTTACAAGGTTATATACATTTAGACATCTAGAAAAACTAGATGCTTCTTCTAAGATCTTAGGTTTCCCACCAAACAAACATGCAGGTAGTTCCAAATAAAGCACACACACACTTAGCAAAAGCTCTAATTTGAAAGAGCAGATTCTGGCCTAGAATCCTTCCCACTCTCATCAACCCAATGTTAGGGTTATTTACACATCTGTAATATTTCAAGGGGGTTTATAATACTTTTACTTTAATGTTTAAAATCTTTAAATTTGAACACAAAATATACTCAATGTGTTAGCTTACTAATTCTACTTTTGTCACTGGCAGCCTCTTTAACATCTAGTAAGACTAGATATTCTAAATTAGGATTCATCTATCCTTTACATATACTATATACAGAACAAAATTAAAATGCTTAGATGGAAGAGACAATGGTCAATTTTCTTCACCATAAACCCACTGGTAGAAAGCCTTCAGCACTTCTCCTCCTCCCTCCTGAACATACCGTGTGTACTAATCAGAAGCCGTTTCATCATTCTATTTCCAAAAGACAAAATTGCATTATGAATTTTAGCAAAACAGTCTCTAAAAAATGAATTATTTACTACCTCCACTTTTAACATACTTTGTTTTTAGAACACCAGATAGACCAGTCTAGAAAAGGATATCCCACTGCGACATTGTAATACACACAGGATCAATTGAAACTAAGGAAAGTATGCTTAAACCTTTCAGGGATAAAAATGATCACCCATAAAGGGAGACCAATCAGAATAATTTCAGAATTATCAGCAGAGACAATGAAAGCAAAAGAGTCTGGAATGATGCATTCCACTTCCTAAAGACAAACAACTATCAACCAAGAATACTCCGCTCAGCTAAATTCTCCTTCATAGCAGCAGGACAAATAAAAATTTTTTCAGACCAAAGAAACATTGAAACCATATATCTCCACCAAATAACATTATGAAAGACACTTAAATATATTCTACACATAGAATACCAGCAAGAGCACAATAAATGCCAAGAAGTAGCCCCAGAACAGAGAATCTAAGAACTATAGGAAGAACCCAGTTGGCACAGCACCCAAGAAGATGGATACCATGACAAGAACAACCAAACACCTCAGACCTAATTCTCAATGTTAAATGAAATGAACTCTCTAATTAAGCAACCTAGATTGTCTAGTTGGATAAAAAAAAATCTGCCTTCAAGGAACACACCTTGTCCACAAAAATAATCATCTTGTGAAAATGAAAGGATAGAGTAAAGTCTAACAAGCGAACAACAACCATAAACAGGTGGGAGTTGAATTCCTAATACCAGATTAAATAGACTTCAAGTTAAAATTAGCAAGAATTGATAAAGATTGTCATTACATATTCATTAAGGGATCTCTCCTTCAGAAGTAAAATACAATTCCAAATATTTATTCACCAAATAACAGAGGACTCAAATTAATCCAAGGAACACTGCTTTCCCTAAAATTTCATATAGATCATAAGACATTATTGTTTTTGACTTCCTTATATTTCATGTATGACATGTGATATCAGAAAACCACTGTGACATGACCACTGTAACATCACACTGCCAAACCTCATGAACACTGTGTCACATACTGACATCACAACCTCTCTGGACTTCATTGCATTTGTGTCAAGACATGCATTTGGAGATATCACAATCAAGTTGTAAACTCATATATTCATTGTGAATAAATGACAATTGAGATCTACCATGCTATTCTGACTTCAGCATCCCATTGTGACCTCACAAACCTGTTGAGACCTCATCACAATCATGGCATCAACAACTATTTATGACATCAAACATTATTTTTTTCATTTTATTTTATTTATTTATTTTTTGTGAACATACTGTACAGAGGGGTTACAATTACATGGGCAGGATAATGCATACATTTCTTATCAAGCATTGCAGCCTCCTCCTTTGTTTACCCTTCACATCCCTTCCCAGGCTCCCCCCCAACTCCCCTACCCAATCTTCCTCCCCACACACACCAACGTTATAAAACTGGTTTTCGATATGACAACTTGTACTTCTCATTGTTGCAACAGGTCCACATGTATCCTTAAACAACTTGTTTTTCCCCATCTCCGCCACAAATTATACTGACCATCAAATATAGTGAAAGCAGGGGTTATACTCTGGGGAAGGGACATAAAAGCAACAAAGAAATAATCTTATAAATGCGTTAGAAACAAATGCATGAAAGAAAAAAAAACATTAAAATACATATCAAGGGTTCATTTTCCTAACATCACATTATCTGATCTTTTCCACTGACTCATACATATACTAGATATTGCAAATAAGGGAAACCATGGGACCTATGATTCTTTGGGCCTAGCTTACTTCACTTAATATAATTTTTTCCAAGCCTTTCCATTTCCTAACGAATGGGGCAATGTCATTTTTCTGATGGAGGCATAGAATTCCATTGTGTATATATACCACATTTTCTTGATCCATTCATCTATTGAGGGGCATCTGGGTTGGTTCTATATCTTAGCTATGGTAAATAATGCTGCAATAAATATAGTAGTGCTGGTAGCTTTAGTGTGGTCTTGTTTGTAAACATTTGGATAAATGCCCCAAAGTGGGATTGCTGGGTCACAGGGGAGCTCTATGTGAAGTCATTTGAGGAACCTCCATACTGCTTTGCAAAGTGGTTGAACAAGTTGACATTCCCACCAACAATGAAGTAAGATTCCCTTCTGTCCACATCCCCTCCAGCATCTGTTGTTGTTAGAGTTCTTGATTTTTGCTGTTCTAACTGGAGTGAGGTGGTATCTCAATGTTGTTTTATTTGCATTTCTTTTATGGCTAGGGATGTTGAACATTTCTTCATGTGTCTATTGGCCATCCTTCTTTCTTCTTCAGAGAAGTTTCTCTTTAAGTCTTTAGCCCACTTATTTATTGGGCAGTTGTTTCTTTGAAGATTTGTTGTTGGGGGATTTAATTTTTTGAGTTCCAAGTATATTTTAGATATGAGACCCTTGTCTGTTGTATGGCTAGTGAAGAAATTCTCCCAATCCGTGGGCTTTCTATTGATCTTGCTAGCTATGTCCTTTGCCATGCGGAAGCTCTGTAACTTCATGCAATCCCATTTGTCCAACCTTTCTTTGATTTGTTGTGTTTCCGGGTCTCTATTAAGAAAATTTCGGCCTGAGCCAAGGAGTCCTAGGGTTTCTCCTATTCCATCCTGTAAGGTTTTCAGAATGTCTGCTTTGACTTCGAGGTCTTTGATCCATTTGGAGTTGATTCTGGTGCAGGGTGATATATAAGGATCTAGCTTTAGTTTTCTACAAGTAGTTAACCAATTTTGCCGGCACCATTTACTTGAGAGGCTGTCTTTCTTCCATTCTATTGTTTTAGGTCCCTTGTCAAAGATTAGTTGGCTATAGGTTTGTAGGTTCATTTCTGGGTTTTCAATTCTATTCCATTGGTCCTGACATCTGTTCTTATGCCAATACCAAGCTGTTTTGATAACTATGACTTTATAGTAGAGTTTGAATTTTGTTATTGATATTCCTCCAGCAGTATTCTTTCCGTTGAGGAGTGTTTTTGCTTTTCGGGGTCTTTTATTGTTCCATATGAATTTTTGGATTGTCTCTTCTATTTCCTTGAAGCATGAGGTTGGAATTTTGATAGGTATCGCATTCAATTTGTAGATAGCCTTGGGAAGTATTGCCATTTTCACGATGTTAATCTTTCCAATCCAGTTCTGTTTTGATTTCCTTTTTCAAGTTTTTAAAGTTTTCATCATAGAGGTCCTTCACTTCTTTGGTTGT